TGTTAGGGGGGTCAGAGATAGAGCACCGACCGCATCAGCCCAGGTCTGCAGGAGTTTATCAGGAGGTGTCCACAGGTTTATTTGTAATATGGTATTTCTGTTTGAATTTTTGACATTTGGCTTACTGGTCTTGTTGTCAAGAGGCAAAAGCAGTGTTATTTCAAGAACATAGCATGGATGTTAATTTGCCGTGCTTTACAGCGGTGATGAGGTTGTGAAGGGAGGATGTGAGTGAAACGCATGCTCAGAATAAACAAAAGGAGAGGAAAGGCTTTCTGTGAAAAGAAAGCTCAATATTTTAATTGACCCAGCAGACAGCACCAGCGAGCCCAGAGGAAAAGCAAAAGTCCCTAACTCCCTGCAGATACAAATTTCATGAGTCATAGTGTAATAATAATAGGCCTTCCCATGTTTATTTATAGAAGCCCATGCCTATGAGATGCCTAGGAGCTGCAAGATGCTGAACAAAATTTCATTAAAGCATTTGAGGAGGGTTTTTTTCCTCTCTCTGCTATGTGGCCCTGTTAATTCGGAGGAGAAGGAACCACAACAAGGAACACCTCGTCATATACATGAAGCATAGCCCTCTTTTAAGCCCAATACACTGCTATCTATTATGATGTTTCCTCTTTATTATTTTTTCTATTAAACTGTCTTAAAAAGTCTTTTTATTCTGGCCTTACTAGATTTAGCTTTACTAAAAATATTGTTGAGTTTAGCACCAGTGGAACGTATGAGAGAGAAATTCATATCCCAGTTTTGATTTTCCTTTGGGTGTCTGTTTCTTAGCACTTTGCCTGTAGCTTGTTGCTTCTCTCTCTGTCTCATCTTTTTTTTTTTGTTGATCAGGATTTGCACACAGCAGATGGGGAGGAAGGAATATTTACTTGAGAAGGTGTCTAAGCCTTGCAGGAGAAGCATTTTGTAATTGGAGTTCCCAGCTTCTCTCAAGTGGACTGCCCGTTCCAGGCCGAGACAGTATGCCCTTAATCTCACCCAGACGTGAACGTGAAAAAGAAGTGTACATCTCTCCAACAAAACCATGCTGTATGCTTGCCCTGCAGTTCACATGAACCCAGGTCCCTTGCAAAACAACAGGCATTGCACACAGCCCCTGAGGAGGAGAGAGTCTCTCCTGCAGCACCTGCTGCAGCAGTTAAATTAACACTTTCAGATATAGCAACATCCTTGAAAGGTCTCTTAAGAAAGTTATGAGCTACAAAGTCGACTCCCTTTGTTTCCATTCTGCCAAGTTTTCTTGTTAGTGCCTCTCCCTTACAGCAGTCAGATAATGTTAAGGAAAATTTTGCTGAGAAGATACAGAGAAAATTGTTTTGAGTACTACAATGCCGTTCTTTAAGAGGCAGAGATATAATGCAGTGTCTTTCGTTGGCTGCTTTTGCTGTGAACAAGAGCTCACCAGAGGCAAATAAATGACTTGTTGAATAGTGCTTTCACTGTTGGAGCGGCTGCCTCTGTAACTAGGCCATGTGCTATTTACCTGCAAAATCTCCATTTAGTGAGAAAGTTTGTGAAATAGAGCCACTTTAACAAATGGCATTATCAGTTTAACTCTACCCAAAGTTATCGCAGAATATTTCATTCTGTCGAATACATTATCTCCTATAAAGGTGTCTGGGTCAAAAAAGAGAAGAGTTATACTATCTAATTTCAGCAGAGCTGGCTGCTCACCAGTTCTAATTATGACAGTTTTGTTCTAAAGTATTTTCTTTAGCTTAATGAGGTCTTTAAATGATTGCAAGTCTGCTAGCATTTGAATATTGGTGGGTGTTCTCATCAGTAGCATCTTCACTTCCTGCTCTCAGACTGATTATTAAAACAGCTTCCTATAACATACTTCTAGACAAAACCATTAGAAAGCAGAGAAAGCTCTAAGGGAAGATTTTGACTCCTCTTGCTCTGTTCCCGTTTTTCTCTTTCTCCAAAGAAGATCTCGCAGGTAGCAAATCCAATGCCACTGCCTCTGAAGAAACAGCTCCCAACAACAACTGTGCCTGATGTATATATTTTTTACTGGGTCTGACTGGATGGGGTTCTGGTTTTCTGACTTTTCCTTGGTAGCACTTAGAATACAATAGTTTTATTCTGAGGTAGTAGAAATCATTTTCCGTAAACACTAGGATGTGGGAAATCTGGTGCATTTTGATCGCCCTGTCAGAGAGAGCACTTCACCCAAAACACTTCAGTTAAATCTCTTTCATCATTAATCTGTTGATACATACCTCTGTTGGTCAAACTTAGAGGTGGTGGTAAACAGACTTCCTGTCGATTTTTTTGAATTAAAATAACAAGCAAACAATCAAAAAAACCCTGTTCTGTGTTTAAAATCAAATGCAAGACCTTTTAATATCTCATAAGTCTTGGGCCCACATGCACTGTAGTGTGGATACTTCTTGATGTCCCAAAAACCCACACATGTTTGGTTTTGCAGAAGGGACTTCACATTATTTCCAGGAGCTTGACCATTAGCGAACTCATCCGTGATCTGGTCCCAGGCACAGTTCCCCCTGCCCTGCCTGATTCGGCAGGGGAATTTGAACATCCAACTTACCACTTGCCCCCGAAAACTCTTTTGGTCTAGGCATCTTTTGTGCTTTGCTGCTGGAGGGAGTTTTATTCCTTTAAAATTCTCTCTTAACTGCATGTTTGTAGAGGGAAAAATATGACATTAGAGTAGGTAAACAGTAAACCTTGTAAATCCTGAAGATACTGCGTAAAAGTATGATCTTCACGATACCACTCAATTTTTAGGTGCCAACTGCAAATGTCAAAAGAGACTGGAATCTGGGTATTCATATACCTACGACTTCCTGAAAATCAGACATCTTCAACATGACTCGAACTGGGTGCTTAAAATTACTGCAGCATGAAAGAACAAATACCAAAGACACAGTCAAGAGAAAAAATTAAAAATTCCATCACTGATACCAGTATGTCTCTGAAGAATTAAAGGCTTTTGGTGAGGAAGGATGTCAGGTAGCTACTCCATCCAGGAAGAAAGTGAAAATGCTGGGTAGCATCTTCAAAGTATACCTGTGCGTTGGGTTATGGAAAAGGGAGAGTCGGGGAAATGTTTTACAAGTCTTGAAATACAGAGCACTGATGCCATTTGGAAGTGTGTCAACGTGTGCCAACGCAGATTTGTTACCTCATCAGTAGAGACTCCCGTTACCTTCTTTAAATGTATCCCTTAGTCTCTTCCATTGTAACTGCAATTTTTTTTTAATGGCAATCAACTCTTACTATGTGACTTTTCCCTTCTATGGAGCAGAAACATAATGTCTGGAGTTAATTTTTCAAAGAGATGGGATTCCTTGTCACTTCAAATATAAAATAATATTTTTAAATGACCTGTACTCTGTTTTAGCACAAAAGCTTTTGCTGAACAAAAAACACTATGGAGAAATACAATATAAGTCCAGGATTGCTGGAGTTACCCCATTATGTCTTTATGAACTATTTATGAACTAGGTAACAGTGACTGCTAAAAAGAGGGCGAGGAAGAAAAATGACCCAGATTGTGAAATAAGTGGTATTTTTTGTTGTCTTTGCAATAGATTTAAAAAAAGAAAAAGGTATTTCTGGTGTCAGCTGCGCTTGTCCATTCTCACAGTCCTACTTTCCCCTCTGCTTGCCCGTGATGGCTGTGATTACCCTAGAGCTTTCTCCTTCCCTTGTCAGCTTACAGAGGTTGCAGGACATAATGGATAACAGACGTGTCCGTGTAGGTATACCCCAGTACCTTTGCTTTTACCCGAGAGGTTCTCAGACGGTATTGATAACGGAAACGTTAGCAGAGCCTCCCATCGACAGGTGCCGAGGGCAGACCAGAGGTGTTGCTCCCGAGTTCCAGGCAGAAGGTGCAGCTGGGGTCTTGACAGCGCATGTGACAACAGTTACTGAGATCACCCCTTGAGCAACCTTAGCTGTCATCTTTCGCTAAGGTTGTTGGATGCTGGCCGACTGAAAAGCAGTGTGCCCGTCTGAGTTGTGTGCTCATTAGCTGGCATC